CAGCAGCCTTTTAACCTATCCAAATCTACATTCAAATGAAACAGAATAGAGCGAGCACAAAATGTGTCAATGAAATAATAGGGGTTACTCTTTTGACAACCATGACCTCATTCAATTCACCGATTCATCTTCAACAATTTTCACACAAGCGCTTTGGCCGGTGAGAAGTGAGCTGCGATGCACAATAGGGAAAACTAATGGGCAATGATAGTACAATAGTCGAGAAGAACGTCAATGCTAAGGGACCGAAATAGGTAGCGCTTTGTGTGACTTCAGTTTGAATTTAATGGATGTGGACAATTAAGGCAAGAGAAAAAAACGCTATAATGCAATGTCGAGATGTGGAGAATTAAGCGGTACAAAAAAAGTAGGTTTAATGTTAGCAAAAACAATTTTGCGACTGACAATATTCATAAGCCTCGAGAAAAGTCTTTTGCCTCGTGATGCGAATAGGCGGAAAGCAGGTAATAATACTAAAGGAAGTTTTCTAGAACGAAAAGTCGGAAGTAGTTGCAAGCATCTTATGCGGTGCGCAAGGGAATAGGATTGTTGGAAGCCGGAAGCAATTTCGACGACTGCCAAAATAATAGAAACTGGCTACGTGATAGGAATCCTTACGTAATCCCAAGCGATAAAACAATACAAGAGGAAGAAAGTTTCAAGACAACTTTGCACAACTGCCTTTCCAAGTCTAAAATGTCAATGGTAGACTTTTAAGCAAGTGGATAAGAGTTGTAAGTTATCAAGGCGGAAAATTTTGAAAAAAAACATTCTATTCAATGTACACTGAACATTAATCTTCTAAACAGTAGGAAAGTGGCAAAAATATTGGCATGCTGAGGCAAATTTGATTGGCCATTTGCCTGCAAATCGCGAGACATATTTAGGCAGCTTTTCCCTTCTTTTAAAGTCCGGAATAACTGTCTCGAAGGCTATGAAAGAAAGATAAGTCGAAAATACTATTTGAGGAATAGGAATGAAGAAAAAAGAGGATCAGAAATAGCGTTTGAAGTTGATGTCAGGTGACGCGGTCCTTAAATGCAACCGCCTATCTCTGTGTGGCAAGAAAATTAAACCAGAAACGTCAAGGCGGTAGGAGGGTTCAAAGAGAAGGACATCGAAAAAAGCCTAGTACACAGTAGTGGATTAAAATTACTTGCGTGTATCCGCCAATTAAGTGAGTATACGATCGCATATTAACAAGCTAATGCACTGACACTGTACGAAATCAGTGAACAAAAACGGGAGACTTCGATGTGTATCTGTCGCTTTTTAATCCCTTAGCCCAAGGCAAAGTGACGATTGCTAGTCCTTAAAGCACACATACACATGCGCACATTGGGTGTTAAAGATGAAACCCTTTTGAGTTAATGAAAAGGCAAGGTAAGGCCAACGACCGGATTCGCAGTTTAGATTAAGGTCGCATCTGCAACACAAATACGATCCTAGAATTGCTTATTTTATTTACAATGAATGTAATCTGTTCTGTTGGGATTTTCGCAATATCTAGGTGAATGAACAAGGAGCAAGTTCACGATGTCGTACGTTCGACCATCTTTTGCTCCAGCAATGTCGAAAAAGTTGCACTCGGTTGTTAAACCGAGTGTAGCATCGATGAGACAGTCCATCGACATGTCTGGCAGCTCGGAATACGTTACTCTAAACGTGCACGAAAAACTCTAATGAAGGGGAGTGTAGTTGGTTTCAAGCACATCACCATTGCGAAACCCAATTCCAAGGGGCACATGTGCGGGATCAAAACTGCCCCACGTTGTAGTGCATTATAATGCTAGGAATCTTTTATGGACAAATTTATTACAGTGCAAAGAAAACAACTCACCACCAGGTTCGTCGACATGAAGAAACACACAATTCTTCTCGATCTCCAACACGCTAAAGAACTATAATTAAGAAAAGAAAGTGCATAAAAAAGCCTTGAAACAATCATTGGCGAGAACAAGATTTGAGAGTTGTTAAAGAATATTAAAAATGAAATTTTGGGATACCTCCACCTACAAAGAAGGTAACGATGAAGCAGTGGAATTTTTACCCAGATAATTTTTGACAAGTTCGACTAGAGATAGAAATAGTCTTGGTTTTTAAATCAGTTCTTCAAGATTATTACTAGATTAAGGCTTGAAACTTCCGCTAATGCAATTTTGCAACATACGAAATGTCAGTAGTAATAATGAAAACTGTTAACTTATTAGGCTGTCAACAGCTGACTACCTGATTAATTTAGGAAATGAAGCCCCGCAGACTCATGGAGATTAAAAAGAATCCAAATAAACTCATAAATGAGTTTGATTTGCTGGGTGTCTTATCGTGATGAAAAGCTCACTTGATCGGAAACAACGGTAGGTAGGTAAACGCGTCGGAAGGTATCTCCACCGTTGTCGGAAACGCTGAGTTGAAGGAGATTCCTTTCCTCGTCAACGAAGTGTGCAGCGTAGAGAAAACGGCCAGAAGGCTCATACTGGGATTCTCCGGAGTCTTCTTCAAGATCCGCATCACTTCGTATAGCCTCGGGGGCCCATATTTTACGCACGTTTTCCAAGATGACTCTCCAATTTCGCCCACCATCTTCAGACTTGGAGAGAGTAAACGGGCCTCGGTTACTAGTTGCTATAAAGAAGCGATTTAACGAAATCAGGATGATCGTTAACCAATATAAAATTAAGTGGGATCGATCAATCGAAACTACGTGGACAATAATGAATGTGCTTCCGGGAAGTAAATAAATTTGAGCATTATTATAGATTTAAAAGTGGCTGATCATCAAATAATCCTTTCATGCCGTAAGATAAATTTGTAGAGCATAAGAAACGCTAAACTTACACCTTTTAACAGCCTTTCCATGAAGAGCATAAAGTGTGCTTTTGTTATCAACATTAAAGCTAGACCAGTAACACTCCTGGACATTTTGCAGCACCAATTCCCATGTAATACCACCATCCTGGGAAACAAAGAGAGACTGTTTGGTGGGGTCAAGGAAGCAAAGTTACAACTCACTTTCGTGTGCCCCTCTAATGTAAATACAAAATTGGACTGAGCATCACGAGAAGAAAATTTGAGTTTTCCACTCAAGATAAAGGGTAAGATAGATTTCCTCCAATGTTTGCCAGAGTCAGTAGTAGAATAGATAAGAGAATTATTTCTGTTGTGCGTGTCATGGCAAACAACATAAATCTTTACTAAATTCCATCACATTATCAATCGGATACATACTTTTCTCATTTTTTGATAGATTTTCCTTGTTTGAAGGCCATTGTCCCGCTTTATAAAAATTTCCTCCCCAAGATTTTTCGTAATATTTTCAAAAGTTTTCCCATTATCGATACTGCAGAGTAAAGCCAAGAAGTACGGCATACCTTCGGTAAATATCCGAAGACTGACCAAGACCCTGTTCGCTTTCACTCATTGTAACCAAAATAATGACCTAAAAATAAACTCAAGAACAGCATCATACGCCTATTGCATCGCCAGCCCATGTTAGCTGAATGGTCTCCTTTGTATCATTTTTGAAGTAATACTTAAAAATGCATAAGTCAATATTCACATACGAAGTCAATGGGATGACCATTGTTGGAGGCATTAGCAAATAAATTTTGCTGAGCCTTACATTCATCAGAAACAAATGCGAAAGCGGATACGACTGACAGCAGCAGAGCGATAGCAACGGACACTCCCCGATAAACCATTTTCACAAATCCGTTTTGTAAAGGTGCACTTATAGGTCAAGGACTATACATTTTAAAACAAAATTTAAGTAATCAATAAAATTTCATTTAATGATTTGAACATTGTAAAATAAAATATTTTTAGGCATGAAATAGCCTTGGGTTTATTATAATACACAGTATTTTATTTTTTCACGCTCTTGTTTAGCGAATGTTTGCCATCGCTACTCATTTCCAGAGCAGCTGAAACATGATTTATTAATGATTTTGTTTTTTAATTTCGTACTTTTATAGACTGATATTTTTGTTTAAATGTTTCAGCTAGATGGAAAATTATCCCTTATGTCTGAGAGCTTTTAAGAGAACAAATAATTACATAAATTACAAAGACTCATTGTATCTTTGTATTTCCGATGTTTTGTTGCATAGGCATAAAAGGCGGCTTATACCCTTCGGTATCTCTGTAGCGAACTGGTAGCGAGTTTATGCTTAATTAGCTTGACGTTGTACGCGACATTGTGTTCTTGATGGAGCCGCCATTGATGACAAATAATCTCCCCTGTCTACATACATTTTATCGACATTCGTCACCCCCATTCTTCCGTGAGACCCAGCTTCAATTTAATTTATCTATTGCGCTTCTGCTTTTCAGATAGCAATGGGTTCCTACATATTCAAGAGCGACACCCTCGACTTCGCCGTCCTACCATCAGAAAACATTGAAGGCCCACTTGGACTAGGTTAGTGTGCACACCTGTGCTAGCATCTCACTCATAGGCTTCCCTGATGATGAAACCCTGAATCGGGTGGAAAGGGAGACTCTCATTCCTGCTCTCTGTATGCAGCATGTTCGAAAAAACCAGTGCGCCGAACCCTGGACCAGTACGGTCTCTTTCAACTTATTGTTGACATTATTACTTATGCAGAACTGGCCGACTGCTCCAAGAGATGGCATTGGGCATCTGTAGCCATCTGTCGACGACAATTCGATGATGCCATGAACTGCACCAAAAAACAGTAATGCTCGCGTTACCTTCCTCCACGGTGCAACAATTCTAGCCTTCTAGATCCCGAGTTTCAGGAGCAGATGAGGAGGCACTACATGGAACTACGTGCAACGTATAGATCGACTGGTATTGAACCGAAATTCTAGCACCCTTTATTGTTTTCGTAAAATAAATCTTTACCACCACACGTCAAAAGCCAAATAGAGCAAAGCAACACGGTGTGATCATGCAGCGGAGGGAATATTTATAGTAAAAAGTGATGCGAGTTGGAAAAACATATGGACGGGTAAAAACAGTAGGGAACATCGAGGGCCTAGAGGATATAATCCAGTTCGTGCCTTACGTAAGTGTTTTTCTCTTCATCTCTAATCCTTGGAAAACCATAGACCAATCCATCCTGATTGCCGATGTAGATGGTGTTGTATACCTTCCACATAATATCCCTCACCTTGCGGGCAGGATGAAAAAGTCCTTGAAGGGCATACTGGATGATCTTGTTGGGTCCAAGGGCAACTCTGAAGCCCTCAATAGCTGCCATGAAAGCTTGAACAACATGTGGCGACGTCTCAAAGACGTTCGGCCAGACGAAGTTGAGGAGATGGAGCAATGCATCCTCGCAGCCAAAACCATAAACACCAAGTGCCATATGGCCAACTGCTGACATTGCCGTCTGTCTATGAACCAGGTCCCTAAAGTGACGCAAATAGACATGCTCAAATCATGAAAAAAAATTACTACTTCTAATAGAGACTTACCTATCCATTAAAGCGTCTTCAAGGAGAGGGGTGACGGCGTAAATGTAATCTTTGCTCATC